GAAAGAAAGAAAAAGTGAGAGAGAGATGAAAGAAAAAAAGGAAAAAGGGACAGAGAAACAAAAGCAAGGAAAGAGAGAGAGAGAGAGAGAAAACACATGGCCAGCAAGCCACTCCCACCAGGTCACATGGCCAGCAAGCCACTCCCACAAAGGAGGCCACACCCACAGAGTAGGTTCAAAAAATTTTTGAAACCCACCACTGATACATACATACATACATACATACATACATACATACATACATACATACATATCAATTTTCAGAACAGCCGAGAAAGAGGTGGGGGGAAGAAGTAAGGATACAATTATTTCTCTTACCCCAGTATATTGGTTCTTCTATTATGCTGAGTTTGGTATAAGTAAATGTTGAAGAACATAGCAATACATAGAGCCAGTATTAACCACTGACTTATTTCCACATGGAAAGTGCTTTACTTTGTTAAGGAAAGCACAGGTAAATAAAATACATGAAAAGAAAGATAATGACGGCTGAGGAGGTTAATTGGGAAGATGAGTGGAGAGCAAGACACCCACTATCCTCTTGAACACCTGTTTCCCAGCTAATTCATGCAGTAGCCTTGGTGTCTACAACTCAAAAAGCCACCTGCTGTTTTCTCAGCTTTCAAGTGCTATTTTTAAAGTGTTTGCCAAGAAGGGAAAGTCAGTCAGATAAAGTGATTTTTATTACTAGTCAGGAAAATAGGTGGCCTGTAAGTTTCAAGTTGGAGAAACTCAATAAAAGTGCCTAAATCCCTTGGTTAACCTCAAGGCAAAGTATCAAACGAAGGATAGATGAATCTGTCAGTTTTGCTTTCTCCGGCATTTGTTCTTTCTTCTTGCTGATGTTTTAAATCTAATTTATGAAAACATTTATTAATTTTGACCATTAAACTCTCCTGAATTTTTACCTACCTGCACTGGTCCAGTTTAATAAATGAAACTATCCTTGATGAAAATAATCATGCTGTAATCATGCTAAAGGGATGCAGTGGCTCAGTGGCTAAGACGCTGAGCTTGTCGTTCAGAAAGGTCAACAGTCCAGCGGTTCAAATCCCTGAGCTGCGTAATGGAGTGAGCTACCATTACTTGTCCCAGCTTCTGCCAACCTAGTAGTTCGAAAGCATGTAAAAATGTAATTTAGTGGGAAGATAACAGCGTTTTGTGCGCCCTCGGTGTTTAGTCATGCCAGCCACATGACTACAGAGACGTCTTTGGACAGTGCTGGCTCTTCATCTTTGAAATGGAGATGAGCACCACCCCCTTGAGTCTGCAATGTCTAGCACATATGTACGAGGGGAACCTTTACCTTTAGTCATGCTAAGGATTTCCAATCACCATTGAAGATAGATTCAGAACTAGTCCATAAGAACTGAATATTGGAAACTGTTGTTTTTATGGATCAATCTGTCAGTCTACACTGCTTTCAATATTTTTGCCAATTCTCCCATTCTTTATTTTCCATTTATACATGAAATTTAAAGTTGTTTCTAAATCCATATTTTAAATAATCAAATTAAAACATTTCTGGTTCAATAAATTTGTTTACTGATTTGGTGCTCTCTGAGCTTGGTCTGAAGCAGCACTCACTAGTTGCTGAAGATATTACCCAGTTGGGTAATAAAGTGTTTGCAAGAAAACAACCAAACTCTGAGAATACCAAAGACTCTGCAGTTCAATCCTAAATTCAATCATAAATATTCTCTTCTATTAATAAGCTTATTAACATGGGAATATTGCACAAAATATATTATAGAGAAGGTTTAAAAATCCATCCACAGGCCATTTTTATATGGTACTCTGAACTACAACTCAACTCACCATATTTTAGAATGTTATATCAATCCTTTATGTGTTTAATTAATAGTTCAGCTTGTCTTGAGATCTCATGGAATTCAAGGTTAGCATGAGGTATGGTTATAATAAAAAATTGATGGATTGAACCTGAAAAAAACCACCATCAGATAGAAGATTCCATAGAAGTCTCAATGTTTCTCTTGCTAAGTGAGCCATTTGTGTGAATTTTGCCCCATGTCGCATTCTGGACATAAATTGTTTCCTACCCTCAAAACGATGCTATAGAGCACTGCACACCACGACAATTAGACATAAGAACAGGGTTTTTTCCTGAATGCCATCACTCTGCTAAACAAATAATTCCCTCAACACTGTCAAACTATTCACTAAGGCTGCACTACTATTACTATTAGTCTTCTCATCATTCCTATTACTCATCTCCTCCCACTTATGGACTGTAAATTTGTTGCTTGTATCCTTATGATTTATATTGATTGATTATTTCCTGATTGCTTATTTGTACCCTAAGTGTTGTACCTTATGATTCTTGACGAATGTATCTTGTACTTTTATACATATATGCACCAAAGACAAATTCCTTGTGTGTCCAATCACACTTGGCCAATAAAGAATTCTATTCTATTCTGTTGACCTCACCTCATTCCTAACAGGTCAGTAGGAGCGTGCATAAGTGCACCAGCGTGCCTAACGTCCCTGTCCTACCATCCCCATTATTTGTCCCCATTTCCTGTGTTCTTATTCATGTTTATTCTTATTCCTGTTATCTTGTACATGAGTGACTAAATAAATAAATAAATAAATAAATAAATAAATAAATAAATAAATAAATAAATAAGCAAGCAAACAAGCAAGCAAGCAAGCAAGCAAGCAAGCAAGCAAGCAAGCAAGCAAGCAAGCAAGCAAGCAAGCAAGCAAGCAAGCTTACCTGGCTAGTACATGCAAATTAACTTCTAAAAGAAAATGAAAAATTATGTTGAATGGGGGCGGGGAATTGAAGCGTGCGGACTTCTGAGTAGGAAAATCCCAACATTTGTTATTGTGCTATTTATAATTCTGCAACTGAAAGCAATAAAGAGCTAATGTGAAATACATCAAATAATGTTACATTTTTGAAATGTTTTCTGCCTCTCCCAGAGATGCTAATAGGTGGGAAATAGTGGGCGAGCTGTTGCCTGCCAATAATGCAGAGTTCCCTAATGTAATAGAAAAATCTTATGCATTCAGGAATAAAATGAATTCAATAATTACTTGAGGGATCCTTAGCTATTTGATTTAATATACTCATAATACCTGCTATTAAATAAAGCCACCATTTACTTCACCTGAGCATATATTTTACATGTTAAATGAAAGAAAGGGCTGGTTATATCTAGCAAATACACAAGGTAAATGACCACTGCTTTGCTAAGGACAAACTGAGCCCCAAAGCTGTTAAAAATAAAAGTAAGATCACTTTGGGAAAACATAGCAATTTGTACTGAGGCCACTGCTTGTCCCATTGATCCAAATGAAGGTGAGGGGTCCTTGGTGCTCTCTGAGTTTAGTGGTTTTTTTAAAAAAAAAAAAATCATTACCCATCTAGCAGTGGTGAAATCCTCCCAGTTCAGCCCGGTTCAGCCAAACCGGTAGGGACAATTGTTCTTGGTTCTGCGAACTGGTAGTAAAAAACATAAAAGCTTCTGAGGTTCGCGAGGCTCAGCTGTGAGTTGCACGATCATTGGAAACTTTTTCCCCTCACTTTTTAAAGCATTTTTTTCCTGCTGGTTCAGGCAAATAAGCAGGAAAAAAATGCTTTAAAAAGCGAGGGAAAAAAGCTTCCGTCGATCACGCGGATCAGCTGTAAGAGCCACGATTGTTGGAACCTCTTTTTTTCCCCACTTTTTAAAGCAGGATTTTCCTGCCTATTCTCCCAAACTGGCAGGAAAAAAATGCTTTGAAAAGTGAAAAAAAAGTTGGCCATGCCCACCCAGTCACATGACCCACCACGACCAAGCCACGCCTACACAACTGGTGGCCAAAAAAAAAATAGATTTCACCACTGCCACCTAGATTATCACTGATGATGTTACTTAGTTTGGGTAATGTTTTCTGTAAGAAACCAACCAAGCTTAGAGAGCAGCAAGAAACCCTCATTTCAGCTCTGAGCAACAAATATTATCCTTTATTGGGATACAATGGATATTCCAATGGTCAAATTTCTGCCTTTATCCTTTCAGTGCCTTTTCTATGTTTATCTCATCTCCAGGTGCTATATGGGACATCTTATCCATAGGCTAAAACAGGGGTCCCCAATCCCTGGGTTGTTGCCCACTATTGGGCTGTGGCCAGTGGTGGGATTCAAATAATTTAACAACTGGTTCTCTGCCCTAATGTTTTCTTCCAACAACCAGTTCACCAAACTGCTCAGAAAGTTAACAACCAGTTATCCCGAAGTGGTGCGACCTGGCTGAATCCCACCATTGGTTGTGTCTGATCACAACTGGGCCACACAAGCGGTGGGTGGTACACAACATGTGTAGAACTCAACTTATGTGAGTGGTGGGCTGGCATGCATGCACATGTGTGCAGCTCAACATGTGGCCCTGTTCCCCTCTCCCCCCTCCACCGGGACGCCAAGGTTCAAATTTTGGGGACCACTGAATTAAAAGAAGTTATAGATGTTCATACTGATGTTTCATTATTTCTCTTTTTGATTAAAAGATGTCTCAAATTGAATGTTTTTTTTCAAAAGAATGAATTTTCATATTGCTACCATGAAGCTATATATTTAAGTTAGAGTAATGTCCAGGATTGCATTAGCCAAAGAGTAAAGAAAAACCCCAAGAACTTGGTTATCCTATTTTAAAGCGGGAACCAACACTTACAAATGAAAATGTCTCAACATAACAATAGAAAAACAGGAGAAGGGAGTTCAAGCAAGGTAAGTAAAAGCATATATTGGGTAGATGAACATAAAAAATTAAATGGGCGGCATATATTACAACACTACACTATTTTGTCCCTTTCGTTAATAATAAATATTTAGAATATTGCACAGAAATAAAACCAGGAAGGTACCACAAGGTTAATAATTTTAGGCAAACTGAAAACTATATTTTTTCTCACCACTCTATGCATCTCATCCCTTCCAGATAACACCTTCAACATTTTGACCAAACGCAATGGATTCAGCCGGCAGAAACAAGAAGTCTATTTTTTACCCATCATCATCAGCGACAGTGGGAATCCTCCAATGAGTAGCACTAGTACTCTTACCATTAAAGTCTGTGGCTGCAGCAATGATGGCATTGCCCAGTCCTGCAATGCGGAAGCTTATGTTCTCCCAATTGGTCTCAGCATGGGAGCTTTAATAGCAATTCTGGCCTGCATCATTTTGCTTTTAGGTACGTATGAATATGTTGCTGGGAAAGACACAAATGTTGCAATGATTAGGATGTTAGACTGGGATGATGGGTATCTGCATTGAAATTCATTCTAGGTCATAGAAAATCATAGGGTCCAGTGGTGGGATTAAAAAAAAATACTACTATAGGTGTGGCTTGGTGGGTGTTGCATGGCTTGGTAGATGTTGCTTGGTGGGCGTGGCAGGAGAAGGATACGGTAAAATCTCCCCACTCCAGGGGAAGGTTACTGCAAAATCCCTGTTTCTTCCTGATCAGCTGGGACTCAGGAGGCAGAGAATAGATGGAGACAGGGGCAGTCAGAGGTGATATTTACCGGTTCTCCGAACTCTCAACATTTCTGCTACCAGTTCTCCAGAACTGATCAGAACCTGCTGAATACCACCTCTGCTAGGGTGACTTGGCCTGGTCTTTCTTTGGGTGTTCTCACTTCAAAAATGATTCAGAAGATAGAGAACTCTCTTATGTCCCCTAAACCATCTCCCACCCCCACCCCCGGCCCGTTTCTGTGTGAGCTTTGAAACTGTCTTTCAATTCATTCAACTCATTCATTGAATCCTTGAAATGAGGCTCTTAAAGCAGCCACATCTTTTTTTCAACCTCTCAAGCCTGAAGGAAATCTGTATCTCTTTTAATGAAAGCAGAGGGGTGCTGTGGTTAGACTTGTGTGAGATTCAAAGCATTTCTTCTAAATCATATTCAGATCCCTACCATACCAAAGGCTAATGATGATAGGAGAGGAAAAAAATGCCAACAGAAGGAAATGTATGCTGCCTTGATTATCTGGATCAGAGAGATATAAATCTCATGAATAAACAAATGCACTTCTCAGGAAGAACTTCTGGGGAAGGAATCTGAGTATAGATTGACTCAGCCCCTACCCCTGCTGTTTTTTATATGCCAATTCAAGTCATTCATTCGTTTAATTTCTTCCAATTATGTCCACTTTTCTGTCAATGGCAACCCAGATGCCTAACAGCATTAATACAAATTTAACCCAATGTGAGAGACAAGCATAAAAGCATAAAATAGTGACATAAAAAGCAAGGGAAACATTCTTGAAAATGAGTCAACATTCCATTAAAATATATTTATCAGGCAAACTCTTGGGCTTAAATACTAATCTCTGTCTACTTTCAAAACATCTTCAGTATAAATGAAAGTTTTTTGTTTTTTTAAAGCTGAATCTGTAGGTGCAAAGCTTAAAAATAGAACTGAAATAATGATGCCATAGAGTTAAAATACTAGAATTCCCCAGTCAGCAGGAAACCATTGCTAAGAAATTTGAGAACTGAAGTTCATACATCTGGACAGAATCCAAATTGGGGAAACTGATTTAGCAGATAGGTGAATACGGATCTTTTTCATTCTTTCGCCTGTATATGATTTTTTTCCCCCTAAAAACACACACCTTAGTAATCTATAGGTTCCCTGGGTCTCAGACTTCAAGTAGACTTTTTAAAGCAGGACTTGTAGGGACCAATAGAAGCTCAGAAATAAATTTGGCTAAAAATATGAATGAAATATATTGAAAAAGTTTAAAATAAAGCAGAAACACCCAAACTTTCTTTTGCCAACATTTGCAGTGGTCTTCACTTCAATTTTCTTTGCAAACTGCCTGACAGGTTTCCAAGTAACACCCCCAATGAAAGAAGACTCCAAGACTTGAGTTTCCTCAAAGTTCCATGTTATTAAAAATGTCATATTGACACATCTGAGAAAACCTGAATCTGAAAGTTTTCAGGATTTCCGCACCCAAAAGAAAGTTCAAATCTCTGCCCAGTACCCACATGTCCACCACATGGTCCAATCAGGCACCGTCCAAAACTGGAGATGCTTCTCAGTCACCTCATCACAGCTGCAGGGCAAGGTGGCCTTGACTCTCTGAGAAAGAATGTTATTTTGACTATATATCACCCATACTCTGTATAATGTCCCCTCCCATTTTCCCACAGTAGAAAATGTGGCAGGCTTGGAGTCCCAAAAGTAAAAGATGGCTTCTAGGTCTCACATGGCCCTTGTGTAATTAATACCCTGTATTTTAATTTAGATGTTCTCATTTATTTTAGGAAAGAAGTTTGTTTTGTTTTCCAAAGGACAGGAGAATTTTGGTAAAATTCTCACAAGTAGAGAGTTGTTATATTATTGTATTTATTTATTTTAAGATAACCAAGGATATATGAATACTCTTTCTTCTCTCCCTGACTTTTCATATTTAATGGTCGGGCTGAAGAAAAGACCACAGATAGACACTCTTTGAAGAGTTTTATTGTTGTGCTTTTTTGCTTCTTTGTTTGAGATTGGTTGGTCTGTACAACTTTTTTTTTCAGATTTATATAAAAATGTATAACAATAACAAGCCCACCCCACAAAAGCAGCATCCCTTTTCTGATACCAATCAACTTAAAACAAGAGAGTGATGAAAAAGTTCCCATGTATTGTCTTTGTGAAAGGGAATAATTTTTTGAGAAATTTCAGCCAAGCATAAATCTCCAACCATTTTGAAAGAAAGTAAAATACTTGAACACCGCTCAAATGTGTGTCTATATTTTAAAGAAAATCATTTTGTATCCTAAAATTCTCACTTTTTTTCTAGGAGAGAAGGAAATATCCTCATTTGGCTTCAAATAATTAAACTTGGAATGAAACCCTGACAGAAATAAATATGTGCTAAGAGAACACAGATAAAAAGTGTTAGTGTTCTCCAGGTATTTTAAGCATCAAGTCTCAAAAGCTCCAAGTGGCACAAAAATAATTATAACTAATAAATTAAATAATTAATAATTATAACTAATAAATTAAATAATTAATAATTATAACTAACAATAATTAAATCAGAACTTCTTGATGGCCAAAGACCACACTTGATACAGTGGGATAGAATCATGACAAAAAGTAGCTGTGTGTCCCATAATAGTGGTTATAGCAATAGCACTTAGACTTATATACCACTTCACAGTGCTTTTACAGCCCTCTCTAAGCAGTTTACACAGGCAGCCTAATTGCCCTCAGCAGTCTGGGTCCACATTTTACCCACCTCAGAAGGATGGAAGGCTGAGTCAACCATGAACCTACTGCGATTCGAACTGCCAAATTGCAGGCAGCCGGCAGTCAGCAGAAGTAGCCTGCAGTACTGCACTCTAACCACTACACCACCACAGTTCTTAACCTAACAGCCTCTTATAAGTTAAGTATGTAAATATGAACTTAAATTCTATGAAGAGACATTAAATAGCAACCCTGAAATATTGTCCACCTTTCCAGGATGTAGGATGATCCAGAGGAAGGCAACTGTTAGGAGGGAGGAATAAGAAGGATTTAGAGTGGAAAAAGCTCATTTTTGCTACATGGATTCCAATGGAGGGTCTGTGCTTGGGATGTTTTCATTACTTCTCACTTCCGTTCATTTTGACTCCAGGTTTTGTATTAGGAGCTGTTGAATTAGGGCTCACCATTTTTGTGCTATTTCCTTTGCAGTCATTGTGGTGCTTTTTGTAACGTTAAGGAGACATAAGAATGAGCCTCTGATCATCAAAGACGATGAAGACGTGCGAGAAAACATCATCCGGTACGACGACGAAGGAGGTGGCGAAGAGGACACCGAAGCATTCGACATCGCGACACTGCAGAATCCAGACGGAATAAATGGATTTTTACCCCGTAAGGATATTAAACCTGATCTTCAATTTATGCCCAGGCAGGGCCTGGCGCCAGTCCCTAATGGAGTTGACGTTGATGAATTTATCAACGTTAGACTCCACGAGGCTGATAATGACCCCACAGCTCCTCCTTATGACTCAATCCAGATATATGGTTATGAGGGAAGAGGATCGGTGGCTGGTTCCTTAAGCTCTTTAGAGTCATCAACTTCAGACTCAGATCAAAATTTTGACTACCTCAGCGAATGGGGACCCCGCTTTAAAAGACTTGGGGAATTATATTCAGTGGGGGAAAGTGACAAAGAAACTTGACAGTGGATTACAAATGCTCACCTTTTTTTCCCCCCAAGTCTTGACTTAAAACTCTCATGTAATATTCTAGGGCCACCACAGTTCATTATGACTAATGTGGCTTTTTGTTTAGGGGGCAACTTTAGCACCAGTCATCTTTTAAAATCAACTACATTGTAATGTTGAACCAAAAAAAGAAAAGTACATAAATCAAAATAATAATAATAATATATGTTAGGAGGTCTGAGTCTCGTGGAGTGTGGCGTTAAGTATGTAGAGTGTCTAGAAGTCTTTGGATATTCTATATTCACATGACCACTCTGAAGATGAGGTTTAGAGCGTTGATCGTCTTTGGCAACGGGAACCAGTAATGCAATGGAGAAGGTCTTTCACTTCCTAATGGACTTCTGTAGGACTTTTTTTGGGAGGGTAAAGAAGATTATCTTCTGAGAGTCCATTAAGAACAAAGGGTTTATCTCCCCACTACCCACCAAGATTTCACAGGGGAAAAAGAAACAAAAAACATAAAAATTTAAAGCAATATCTGTCGTCTTTCCAATGCTGATTTTTCCCCCCCTTAAAGACAGGATTGATAATAATAAAAAACCCCTCTTGACCTCAACTGTGCAGTGACTCAAAGTTGTACATAGGATAATTGTTGGCTGCAAAAAAACAAACAAACAAAAAACACCACCACAGACCGAACAATAACATCTTTCAATATTGTGTCAAGCCTTAAAATATTCACATGTTCTTAATCCATTCCAGGGACAGGATTCAAAATCCACAGTTGTGGGGAGGAAATCTGACAATATGGATTGTTTTCTAGAAGGATTGATCCTTTTTTGACTTTCGTAAAGGATAAAAAAAAAAGGAGAGGAATCAGTGAAGGAGTTTGGACTCACATATATGAAACTGAAGCTGGTTTTATTGCTAAAGAATGCATTTATTTGTTTAATCCTTGAAATAAATATTTTATTGATGTCCATTACTGCTTTTATTTATTAAGGTTGGGTTTTGGAAGTGTATAAGGGGGTAAAAGAACCATCTAAAGTATTGTATTCCATCCACTGACAAAAGTTTTAGAGTGACTTCTTCTATATATAGTGAATGTTATTTGAAACATGTTTTTTTTTTCAAAAAGAAAACAGAAGGATTGTTAGCTTTAGAGGAGTAAAAAAAATGAATGCTAGTGAGTGAAAAAAAAATGTCCCTAGAGGAAATTAACTTTGGATGTTTTTATATTTATATCATAAACCTACTAACTATGTTGAATAGAAGCACAAACAGCTGGAAGTAAACCAGTTCATGTGAATATTGAAACAAACAAACAAAAAAATGACTCTAAAATTTAAAAATTCCACACAAAATACCATAAGGTTTTTCTGCTGTGCTAGAAAAAGGATCCAGTGTGTATATATATACATATATAAATATATTTTCTGCTAATGTTCTTAGCTTTTATTTCTTTATTTCCTTAAAATATTCATAGTTCTGTATGAAAATCTTGTTCAGAGAAAACCACCTATGGAAGCTGTCAGCATCCTCAATTTGTAATGGAAACTTATCATTTAGAAGTAGCGTCTGTATAATAAAATTAAATGGTATATAAAAATCATTTTACTTTTTTTCCCTATTTCTGTTTGGAAGCTTTCTTTTTTTAAAAAAAGAATTCTCAATGTATTGTATTCAGAAAAAGAAAAGGGGGAAAAAACAAAGCAAAATACTTGTATTGTTTCCTACTTTATGGAAATATATTTTTTATAAATATCTTCTTTGTGATCACAGTTTCTTTTGGTGTTACCTGCATCTTGCAGAAAGTTGTTAATTTCTTTTAAAGCCTTTTTAAATAATGAGTACATTATGTGGATATTAGTCAATATATG